TTGCAAAAGAGGGCACCAAACCCAGAAGATATGGGCAGATGCATTGCAACTGCAATGCAACTTAATGGTTTTGCAACTTAATTTTATCTCCTAGCTTTCAAGTCCCTCCCCCAGTTCCTCATCAACTGAGTACTATGGGGTTGACAGTCTTCCCAAACATTGCCTACTTCCCCTTGATGGTTGGCTTCTTTTTAAAAGTTCCTACTTCTCAAACAGAAGCTCTGGTAGCATAGTGGTTATGAATCGGGCTGTGAACCTCAGGAACAACAGTTCGAAACTACCAGCTCTTCCATGGGAGAAAGATGAGGCTTTCTGCTCCTGTAAAGATTTACAGCCTCGGAAACACTGTACAGGGTCACTATGAGTCAGAACCTACTCCACGGTACTTTACAACAACAACTTCTCAAATAGGTTCCTTTCCCCACTCTCTCAATTCATCCCCGCTTATATACCCCACGGTGCATGAGCCTCTGTTGTTACACCAGCCAACAGTGTCAATTAGAAACTTCCTGGACCCCCTTATTCCTAAAGATGGACCATCCTAAAAATTATTTTTTCACACCATTTGTTGTGGTTTAGGCCCAGAAGGGAAAAGTCTTCTGGGTATGTAATTTGCTGAGAAAATAAACAAGCAGGACCAAATCCAAATATGTAACTTTATATGTACAAGGGGGCTTCAAAAAGTTCATAAAAAATGGAGTAAAAAGATAATGGTTTTCTTCCCCATGAACTTTTTGAAGCCACCTTGCATAGGCTATAATAATTTAGTGCAATTACAAAACAAGTATAATTAAAACAACTAATAATTTATTGGTTACATGATTAAGTGATATTTTGGACTAAATAAAACATCACTTTTTAAAAAAAGATCCTTAACCTTTTTAAAAAAATGTGGTCACTGTTGTTAAATGCTCAGCGAACCTGTATAGGGTTTACAAAGAGCAGCTGGTGGGTTTAAACCGCGGACCTTACAGTAAGCAGTCCAGTGTTTACCCTAGTGCCGCTCTAGGACTCCAGAGAATTTTACATTGCAATGGACTCACATTATATTTCTACTGGACAGTGCTGCTCTACACAAAGCAGGAGGTGGGAGGAGTACTAGGGCTCTCCACTGCAAAGCCTTCATTGTAAACAAGCCTCCTTCTTTTGCTATTTTAAGTACTTCACAATTAGCACTTTATGATTTCCTCATCTAAACTCTACCACCCTTTTTTCCATTCTTTAAGCTCAAAACTACAGAGAAATTGAAAATTTTCCAACATATTTATTATAGAAGAGCACCAATTATGTGTTAAAGCTAGTTTCTAACTATTTTGAGCCTGTTTAAAACTGGAGCCTTTGAAAAGCACATTAAAATTACTTAAAATTTCAATGCATGAGGAGGCTTCAGAAAGTTTGTAGAAACTACTCTGAAAGGGACCACATTAATTAGAAGGTCCTGGACAGGATGGAAGAAAAATACAGACTAAACTCAAAATGGAAAAAGACCAGGCTTACTAGTCACATAAACAATCCTGAAATCCCTGAGACTATGGCCCTTAGTTACTCATACGGTGAGGAAATGAACCCACCCCTCATGGTTCAGTTTTCAAGGAAACAACAGGTCGGTCTGTAAGGGGAACAGAAACACTAGGGAGATACACACACCTTTGAATAATCATCAGAGTGAGATCAAAAGAGCAGCATTTATCCAAAAACAAAATTCAGGAAGATTAGAAAAGGAGGAAGAATGGAAACAGGAAACACAGAGAGGAAATAGGATGAGATGTTACAGTCTAACAGGATGTTGCAATCAATGACATGAAACAAAATGTGTATGAATTGTTGAATGGAAAACTGGCCTATTCTGTAAACCTTCACGCAATCCACAATGAAAAGTCTTTAAAAAAATAAATGTCTGCTGTTTTCAATCATCAAGCAATCCAAAAAGGTCATGGAAAACTGAAATCAAAAGAAAATGTAATTTTTACCAAGGATTTTGTGTTTGTGTGTGGAAAAATTCAATTATCTTTTTTTTTTAGTTTTTATTGTGAATTGAACGATAGTTTACATGGAAGAACATCAATTTTACATTCATCCTATCGTATTTCGTTTCATTGTAATGACTGAAATCCTTCCAACGATTTTTTAAAGACTATATGCACATAACCATATACAAAATTAGGTGTACTGTAAGGTAAGCACTGGACTGCTAACCACAAGGTTGGATGTTCAAAATCCACTAGGCACTCCATGAGAGAAAGGTAAGGCATTTTGCCTCTGTAAAGATTTGCAGCCTTAAAAAGAAACCCTTTGAGGTCGTGCTGACTTGGAACTGACTTGACTACACTTAAAAAAACAAATGTATATTAATGAAATTGAAAACATAACAGAATTTTCCAAAATAGAACAATTCTTTAGTATTACCTTATTTATCTCCTCTTCATATTCTCTTCTTAATTCCCCAGGTATACTTAATACACGAACTGGTTGATAGTCAACAACTGTTTTAGAGCATAAAAAAATAATACTATTAGCAACATAGAAGGCTACGGCTAGTTTTGATTTTTCATGAAAGCCTTATTAATATAAACATGCAAAATTAAATATAAAGTGTACAATTATTAAATGCTACAGAAATATCTAAAGCAAAGAGATAAAAGGAAGAGATCAATCACTAAACAAGGGATTTTAACAAATTTCTAGAAAACTGAAAGTTGATCAAAAAGAAGTGACTGAAGGAAAATGTAACTATCAAAAGAGAAGGCTACAAAAAAGGAGGGGAGTGATTAACTTTGCAACCTAGGAGTGGAGGTCCCTGGAACCATCAAGGGAGAGAAGAGTGGAGAGTGGGACCCTACCCAGAGAAACAGTGACGCCAGACATAGAGGTAGAGATGATGACATGGAGAGATGGAGCGGCTGGGGATTCTAGACCCAGAGAGGGAGAAGGGCTGTGTGCTAACAACCGGGAAGCAGGCTTGCAGTGTATACCCTTTGGTTGGCTGATGATGCATAGAAGGGATTGAAACCATGGCAGTGAAATGATAATACAACAGGGTGAATGTAAAGCTAATGTTCTTCCATGTAAACTATCACATAATTCACAATAAAACATTTAAAAACAAAAAAGAGAGAGAGAGAGAGAGAGAGAGAGAGAGAGAGAGAGAGAAGGCTACAGCTGCTGGGAGACAATCTGCCCAGTAATCTGGAGAACTCATTCAGGCCCCAAACCTAAGGTCCAATAGAGTTCAGAGTGAGTAAGTGTTGGACTGAAAACAGGTGTATAGACCATTTAATCAGAATACTTGGTTACTAGGTACTGCTCCCTGGATATCTATGCACATATACAATACATATTCATAGGTCAATTTTTAAAGAAACTGAACTGGGGAACAGACCCAGAACAAAGTCCTCTGCAATCTGACAGTTAGGGGTGGACAGAGCATAGTGGTCAATTTTCCATCTGCTTGTTTTCAAGCAATGTCTTCCAGTTATCAATGCCTATCCCCTATCCATGTATAAAGAACTTTTCTCTAGGATCTCATTTTTAAATACAAAAGCAAAACCATGGGCCATCAGACAGTTAAGACAGGAGCAAGATGGCAAAGTAAGTAGATACTCCCATTTATTCCCCCAGCAACTAACCCAGTGAACACTGACACAAAATCAGAACTGATTGAGATCTCAGAACTCTGGACAGCAGCTGAGGTGTTAACAGATCAGGGAGAGTCCAGAAGCTGGGAGAATCTCCTGCTAACCTTTGGAATGCTCCCTCATAGCAGCCATTTTGGAAAAGGTTGGGTAACATCTCAAAGAGGGGACACAGAAAAGGAACTAATCTAAGGAAGCTGTGGCCATTGTAACTCTGTATGAGAAAAAAAAAAAAAATTAAAAAAAAAAAAAAAAAGAGAGCGAGAGAAAGACTTCAAAAAATAAAAAATGCAACAACACAGGCAGCATGGCACTGTGGGTTAAAGCACTGGACCATAGGTTGGTTTGAACCATAAAGTCAGACGTTTAAATGCACCAGTCGCTCCTTGAAAACCCTATACATGGTAGCTATGAGTCGGAACCAACTGAACAGCACTTAACAACAACATATGACATTCTCAGGGAATAAACACAATACTTATTTCCCACAAGCAATACAATACCACATTTATAAGATAAAAAAACTCTCAGCAAAGAAAACTTGCTGAATATTGGTAATATTTTGATGTAACTGGAGACACACCATCAGAAATGGGAGTGAGAGGAGCATATCAGGAATGGATTTAATCTGTTGAGGCAGACACTAATAATGTTAAATGTAAATGACCTAAATGTTCCATGCAAAAGGTAGAGTGGCAGAATGGATTAAAGAAAAAACATGATCTGTTCTCTTGTTGTCTACAAGAAATATACCTTACAAATAAAGACACAAATACACTGAAAATTTAAAATGTACTGTGGATGGAGGCTATACTGCTATCACATAAAAGAGACTTTAAGTCAAAATCTATTACCAAAGATAAAAGACACTGCATAATAAAAAAAAAGGGTCACGCCAGCGAGGAGACATAGCAAGTATAATGATACATAGGCACCTAACAGCAATGCTCCAACATACATGAAAAAAGTACTATTATGAAAGGAGAACTCCAGAATAATAGTTGTTGTTATGTGTTACTGAGTCAGTTCTAACTCACAGTGACCCTGTACAGGGTTTCCAAGGCTGTAAATTTTTACAGGAGGAGATAACAATTGTTGTTGTTGTTAGGTACCATCAAGTTGGTACCGACCCATAGCGACCTTATGCACAGCAGAACGAAACACTGCCCGATCATGGGCCAACCTCACGACTGTTGCCACTCTTGAGTCCATCGATGCTGCCACTTGGCCAATCCATCTTGTTGGAGGTCTTCCTCTTTTTCTCTGACCCTCCACCCTACCAAACATGATATCCTTCTCCAGTGACTGGTCCCTCCTGAGAATATGTTCCAAGCATGAGAGACGAAGTTTGGCCAACTTGGCCTCCAAGGAGCACTCTGGCTGCACTTCTTCCAGAAAGGATCTATTGGTTCTTTTGGCAGCACATGGCACTTTCAATATTCTCCTCCAAAACCATAACTAAAAAGCATCAATTCTTCTACGGTCTTCCTTATTCATATGCATGCTTTTGCATGCATATGAGGTTACTGAAAATACTATGGCTTGGGTCAGGCGCACCTTAGTCTTCAAGCTGACATTTTTGCTCTTCAACACTTTAAAAAGGTCTTGTGCAGCAGATTTGCCTAACGCAATACACGTATAACTGCTGCTTCCGTGAGTGTTGATAGTTTATCCAAGAAGAATGAAGTCCTTGACAACTTCAATATTTTCTCCATTGATAAAACTGTTGTCTTTGGTCCAGTGGTGAGGATTTTTGTTTTCTTTACATTGAGATATAAATCATACTGAAGGCTGTGTTCTTTGATCTTCATCAGTAAGTGTTTTAAGTCCTCTTCACTTTCAGCAAACAAGGTTGTATGTATTATCTGCATATTGCAGGTTGTTAATGAGCTTTCCTCCAATCCTGATGCCATGTTTTTCATCATATAACCCAGCTTCTCAGATTAGTTGCTCAGCATACAGGTTGAATAAGTATGGTGAAAGAATACAACCCCGCCACGCACATTTCCTAATTTTAAACCATTCAGTGTTCCCATGTTTTGTTCGAACAACTGCCTCTTGGTCCATGTACAGATTCCTCATAATAACAATTAAGCGTTGCAGAATACTCATACTTCGCATGTTGTCTATAGCTTGTCATGATCCACACAATCGAAAGCCTTTGTGTAGTCAATAAAGCACAGCTAAACACCTTTCTGGTATTCTCTGCCTTCAGCCAAGATCCATCAGACATCAGCAGCGATATCCCTCATTCCACGGCCTCTTCTGAATCCGGATTGAACCTCTGGAAGTTCTCTGTCAATGTATGATTGCAGCCATTTCTGTATTACTTTTAGTAAAATTTTACTCATATGGGATATCAAAGAGATTGTCCGATGATTTCCACAATCCGTTGGGTCACCTCTCTTTGGAATGGGCACAAAATACAGATCTCTTCTAATCAGTTAACCAGATAGTTGTCTTTCAAATTTCTTGGCACAGATGAGTGAATGCCTCCTGTGCCGCCTCACTTTCTTGAAAGATTTCATTTTTATTCCATCAATTCCTGGTGCCTTGTTCTTTGCCAATTCCTTCAATGCACCTTGGACTTCTTCCTTCAGTACCATTGACTCTTGATCATATGCTACCTCTTGAAACGGTTGAAAATCAACCATTTCCTTTTGGTAAATTGACTCTGTGTATTCCATTCCTTCCATCCTCTTTTGATGCTTTCTGTATCATTCAATAATTTGCCCAGAGAATCCTTCAATAATAAAAGTCAAGGCTTGAATTTTTACTTCAGTTTCCCCAGCTTGAGAAATGCTGAGTGTGTTCTTCCTTTTTGGTTTTCTGACTCCAGATCTTTGCACATTTTGTTGTAATATTTGGCTTTATCTTCTTGAGCTGATCTTTGAAATTTTCTTTTCAGCTCTTGGACCTCTCCTCATTTCTTCTATTTACTTTAGCAACTCTATGCTGGAGAGCAAGTTTCAGTGTCTCTTCTGGCATCCAATTTTGACCTTTTCTTTCTTTCTTGTCTTCTTAATGACTTTTTGCTTTCTTTCTGTATGATATCCTTTATGTCATCCCATAACTCTTCTGGTTTTCAGTCTCTAGTGTTCAATGTATCTAAGCTGTTCTTCAGATGATCTCTAAATTGAGGTGGGAAATACTCAAGGTCATATTTTGGCTCTTGTGGACTTGTTTTCATTTTCTACAGCTTTAGTTAAAATTTGCATATGCGCAATTGATGGTCTGTTCCACAATCTGCTCCTGGCCTTGTTTTGACTGATGATGCGGAGCTTTTCCATCCTCTCTTTCCACAGATGTAGTCAATTTGATTTCTATGTATTCCTTCTGGTGGGGTCCATGTGTATAGTCGCCTCATATGCTGTCTAAAGATGGTATTTTAAATGAACAAATCACTGATCTTGCAGAATTCTATCATGTGATCTGCAGCATGATTTTTCTCACCAAGGCCATATTTTCCAACTACTGATTCTTCTTTGCTCCCAAGCTTTGCATTCCAATCACCAGTAATGACCAATACATCTTGATTGCATGTTTGATCAATTTCAGATTGAAGAAGTTGGTAGAATTCTTTTATTTCATCCTCACTGGCTTTGGTGGTTGGTGTGTAAATTTGAATAATGGTGGTATTACCTGGGCTTCCCTGTAGGCACATGGCTATTATCCTATCACAGACAGTGTTGTACCTCATGACTGATCTGATCTGTTCTTTTTGACAATGAATGCAACATCATTCCTCTTCAATTTGTCATTCCTGGTGTAGTAAACCATGTGGTTGTCAAATTCAAAATGGCCAATACCAGTCCATTTCAGCACACTAAGGCCTAAGATATCAATGTTTA